CCTCCTCAACCAGCTTGGGTCCTCCGTAGTCATCAGCACAGGACTTGTGCCAAGTACTCAGTAAATGTTCACTGAAGGGGAGAGAAGCCCAGAAGCCCAGGCCCAGGATATTCCGGGGCACTGTTTTAGAAGGGGGTGAACTCTGATCATCATAGCACACGAAGCATCCCTCCCACAGGGACATTGTCGGGCTCCTCTAGAGAAAGGAGCTATAGAAAGGTGATTGTTCTTCTGACTTTTCTCTTTGCCACCCCCAAGCTCTCTGCCATGCTCCTCCTCCTCTCTCTGCCTTCCCACCCTCTTTGAATGCCAAGATATTTGCATGCCAATAGAATAGAAGCCCCCTCCTCCGCAGCTTCCCAGGTTCTGCTTGGCTTCCCTTCAGAACTTGTTGCTCTGGCAGGTAGATTGTGTGTGTGTGTGTGTGTGTGTGTGTGTGTGTGTGTGTGTGTGTTTCCGCCTACATGTGCACACATGTGCATGGTCACATTCCTTGGCACTTGGTGGGCACTTGATGGCAGCTAGGTTGTGTGTCTCTCATGTGCATCTGCCCTGTGGGCCTTAGGCATGACCTGTGGCAGCTCCATAGCAGAGCCTCCGCACCCCTGCTTTTGTTGGTCTTGTGAGCAACCAAGGTGAAAAGCAACAGAGGCGACCAGCAGAGGATCACACAGTCACACCTTCTGCTGCACCCTTGCATCTGTCCTGTGCCCTGGATCTTCCCCCCGAGTTTCTCCATCACCTGTACATGCACAAGCTCTGGCTCCAGCTGAGCCAGGCCCCTGGGTAATAATCACTGGGATTCTAGGGCCCACAGTGGGTTACTGTGCGTACAGGGAGGAGTCCCTTCCAGCCTTTTAACAGCACCATCTGGCCCCATAGCTAACATTAAAATTAATTACCATGAGCATCAGGGATCCCATGAGCAGCCTTATTAACTAATTAACTTGTTACTATTCAGCATGTCTCCTTTCCACTTCTCCACAACACCTTCTGCCGAGGACAGTGGACAGTTCTGGTCAGATCCTTCCTCTGGGCAGAACCTACCAGGGCTCTCACTGCCTCTGAAATTATGAACAAACTGGGCCAGCTGCTCGGGGCATCCTGACGTGGACTCTGTGAGAGGTGTTTCCAGCCTTGTCACTATTCCACACCACAGCTTTGCCAATGAAGCCGAAGAGGACATTCACTGTTTGAACGCATGGTCTTCCAGAACCTCCTACCCTGCATTTTGCCAAGCTCTTCCCACCCTCCTCCTCCCCCAGGGCAATCTTAGCCATCTTTCTGGGTACCTTTCAGGGACCCTTGTTTCCATGGAGCCTGTTCTGACCTATCATAGACCCCCACCTCCCTTCAGTCTTCTGGCTCTTGCAGCTTTCTTACATCCCAATGCACATTGTATTGTGTGTAATGAGCAGACCCCTTCAAATTTTTTCCTTCTGAATTACAGATTCCCTGCGGCAAGAGGGATGTGCTGTAGTCCTATCTGTGTCCCTGCCTTGCTCCACCGCCAGTTGGTGCTCTGTAAATACAGGGGTAGGAAGGCCGGAGGCTCAGGGTGGGGCTGTGGATCCTCAGAAGAGAAGGTGAATGAGCAGAGGACACTATGCACCCACTGTACCTGCCAACAAGGGCCTCTGGAGAGTGGTAAAGGATGGGGCTACCTGCAGGGCAATATGTCGTAGTAGAAGACAACAGGGCTTTAAAACTTATTTTCTGTATCCTCTGTATTCAAGACTTGGATCTGGGCCAGCTCTACTTCTGAAGTTGGGGATGAGGACTAATAGAAAGTAGCCAACTGCTGCACTGAATAGTACATACTAAAAACAAAGGTTGTAAAACCTCAAAACATATGATTTCCTATCATTTTGCTACATCTTACTATTTTCATTCTCTCAAAGTATGTCCACAGTGCAGTGCAACCAGCCCTTCTCCATGGGGGTACATCCCAAGCCCCCAGGGATACCTGAAACCTGGCTGTGAATTGAACTCTAGAATACTGTGCTTTTCCCTATCCACACGCCTACGAAAAGGTGCAATTGGTAAATTAGGCAATGTGAAAAATAAACAGCACTAACGGCACAATGCAATTATAACTATATATACTGTGATAAAAGTAATTTGAAACTTCTAAGTTTGTGTTCCTGGAATTTCCCATTCAATGTTTTTGGATGACATTTGATGTGGAATAACCGGAACTGGAGGAAATAAAACTTCAGTGAAGGTGACCATTGTCCTCTACACCACTGTGCTGGACTCCTTCCCAGCTCACTGAAGGACACCATGTGGACAGCCTAAGAGTGGATAGTTATATCACAGATATAGGTGAAGACTGGTCTCTTTCAGAGAGCTGGTTACTAAACAGGAGCGCACCTCTGGGTATATGTGTCTGCTGTTCAGAGATGCTCGGGACAGCACAGCCACCTTTGCGACACCATCCTTCTGGTAAGAGCAAGGGTGGAATGCACTGATTTAGGGCTCTGAGGCCCAGCTCAGTGGCAGATGAGGGCACAGCTGCCTGTCTAGGATGATTGAGGAGGGGGCGGGTGCTAGTCCTCTTGCCCTGGCTTATGGGGAGAGCTGCTTGGTGGGGGCTATAAACATCAGAAACAATATCAAGCTTGGTATGAATGAATACAGACAGCCTGGGGTGCAGCCCAGGGAGAGAGCTCAGGAAGGGTGCCACCCATGCCTGACCTGCTGGCAGGATGCAGCTTCTCACTGAGGCCAGATACCTCAGTGACCCCTGGGACACTGAGCCAGGAGCATCCTGCCCACTGCAGGTTGGCACCAAGGCCAGGTGCCCAGGAGCTGCAATGCCCAGAAGCAGCAAGGAACAAAAGGGAACAACCTGACCGACTACCAGCAGACGGGCATCATCTCACCAACCATCTGGAGCCAAGCACCATGGTCTCCTAATGGTGGAGCCTAGCTAAGAGCTTGAACACAGCGGGTGTCTAACGATGATAGCTAAGCTACTAAGTGTATTAGCTGATCTGAACACAGCATTAGGATCTCCGTCTAATAGCTGAGGTAAGCAAAGCATCAAGAGGAGATGTAACTTGCCCAGCGTAAGGGAGTGATGGAACCTGGGCTGGAAACCAGTCAGCTGGCTGCAAAGGCTCTCTGCTCTATTCCCTCCCTGATGAGGGAGGGAGAGAGAATGAGAGGCTGCATGGGGACTTGGCATAGTTATCTGGGGTGAGCAGGGGTATTAATGTCACCAACACTTGGCTGAGAAACTTACTTGCAAAATGGCTTCAGGAAAACTGCCTATTCTTCATCTGGATGCTTATGTAGTTTGTTTTTTATTTTTTATTTTTGGCCTCACTATGTAGTCCAGGCTGGCCTCAAACTTGTACTCCTGCTTCCTTGGTGTCCTGAGTGTTGCCATGACAGGGGTGCACCACCAGGCGTGGGGGTTATGTAGATTTTTTTCTTGAAAAAGGAGGTTTATAAAGGGGTCAGCACAATGTCTGGCACATACTTGTTGCTCATACATGGAAGTTTATGGTGCTACCACTGGGCACCAGGGACCCAGTTCTAGTCCATCTCTAGCATCACCAGTGTAGGGTGATCTCAGGCAAGACCCGAAGACCTCAGTGCCTAAGTCTGGAAGAGGAGGGGCCTGGGCTGCCTGATCTTTCAGGTCCTTACCAGACTAAATATTTTCCGCCTTTATGAATAAAACTGCAAAGGAGGTGATTTGAGTGTCAGAAGAGACTGGCTGCATTGTAAAATCTGTGATTAATGTTTGAAAAGATGCAGCACAAAAATAATAATTATCCAAGTGTGGCACACAATCTTGGATTCTTTCATTAAGTTAACAAAATTCCCAAGGAGGTAACATTCAGAAACGGAAAACAACCTGCATTCCTTGATGGGAATCTTTCTAGAAAGCAGGAGACAGGAGCTCAGGACTCAGCCTAGGCTAGGCCAGCTGGAAGTTGTATCCATAACCTACTTGTTTTCACTGTTTCTAGATCAATCACAGGGTGGATCCTGGTGCTTTTGGAAAGCACAGTGAATGAAAGAATGCATGAAAGAATGAACAGGCAATTCCTAAAACAGCTTTTCCTGCACCCCGAGGCTTGGCTGCAGGAAATTCTTGCTCCTGTTAAATCAACATTTTTTTTTTTCTTTTTTGGTGGAACTGAGGATTGAACTCAGGTCCTTGCGCTTGCCAGGCAAGCACTTATTCTACTGAGCTACACCCCCAGACCCCTGTTAAATCAACTTTGCCGGGGACCAAAGTAGCTCTTGGGCTGTCCAAGGCCTAGGAAAAGTGGTGTCTCCAGATGTTGTGGGTGAAAACCAAAGCCCCAGGACTGGCCTCGGGAAATGACATTAATATGACAGTCCTTCCATGCTTGCTTACCCTATTTGAAAACAGTCTAAAACTCAAAACATACTGTGTGGTCTTTGTATCCTACAGTCTGTTCAGCTCCCAGGAGGAAGTATGTGTAAATCAGCCTGGATGGTATACACCACCAACCTCGAACTACTACGCAGCTTACGCTGCAGGATGCTGCCCACAACACTAATGTCGCTGGAATCCTGGGGGGTCCCACGCTGCCCAGTTCCCAGTAGGCGCCTCACAGCCCACCTCCTTACTCCCATCCTCGCATCCAGGCTGCTGTCTGGTGCTCCTCCCAACCCTAAAGCCCAGTCCATCTCTGGCTTCTCTGGCTTCTGGAGTCTACATCCTAGAAGGTCCCCTCTTCATCCCGGGCTTCCCCCTCTCAGCAACCTTCTTCCTAATAAGGGGAATCCATGAGCGCCCCCTCGTCCTACACACCGCCTGCTGAGATCACGATAACCCTTTCAAGGCCACTAGGCCTGGAAAAAAAATTGCGTGCGGGGTGCCTTCAAACCCCAAAGGGGCGGGGGGTGGGGTGGGGGTGGGGGGTGGGAGGTGGGCTCCACCCACGTAGGGCGCAACGGGAGGAAGTGGGGGAGGGCGCCACCTGCAGGTTCAGGTGCGGCCGGCGCGCGCTTACCCGGGCATGAGGCTGGGGGGCACATAGGCGGCATTGAACTCGGTCAGTAGGGTGCCCGCGCTGCGGGAGGCCATGGTGGCGATCGCGAGAGAGCAGTGAGCCTGGCTGAGACTCACGTTAGACGTAAATAGCGGGCGGGTCACCGGGCAACGCGTGCCTGGCAACTGGGTCTGGCCCTGGCGTTCCGGGACACTAGATCCTCTCGCCTTTCCCTCTCTGGAGCAGCCTGGTCGGGCCTGTTCGCTGCAGGACTCGCGGTGACCCGAGTTGGAACCCCTAAGGCACAAGAGGACTGGCTGGGCCTGGGTTTGAAGAAGAGTCAGACCCAGGAACTGGGGTAGCTGCAAGGAATCCCAGAAGTGACTCACCACCACACACACAGCTACCTTGCCAGGCGCTGCTTTGTGGGGCTCCAGGAAGTTGCTGTGTGGTGGGCCCACCTGGGATGATGGCTCAAAACCGAGGCTGCTTAATTTAAGGGTGAGGTGTGTTGCGGGGAGGGGTCCTGTTCTCATCTTGCTCCTGAAGCTACTCCACCCAAGCGATTTTGTGAGGGTCAAAAAGTAAATCATAAGAAAGTCTGGGTGTGTGATTTGTGTTTGTCACCAATCCTGCAGTTCAATTTTGCCCTGAAATCTATAGTGCTGGTGTCCACTCCAGACAGCAAGCTTCCTGAAGCCCTGCATCTCCCACTGTGGGCCTCCACCCCCTGATTCCTCCAGAGAGAGCACTGCTGGCCGTGGGCATGCCAGGGCCAGGGCCTCAGATGTTGAATGAGGAAGAGGGTGTGAAGACTCCTCCAAAGGTGCTGTTCTTAGTGACTTGGATGCAGACCCTGCCTCTGGCTCCCATGGCAGCAAGCCCGGAGTCAATGAAGCATGCCTGCATTGGCCTTCGCTACTCACAGTTCATTTTCCCCCTCAGATGTTAGACAGGGAACAGTCATCTACACAGCTGGACACGAGATGGCAGATCCTGGATCACAGGATGCCACTGGAACCAGAACTTGCCAGAGATGTGTCTGACAGACGACAATGGGACTGGGGCTTGCAGAAGGTCCATAAGCTTGAAAGAGGTTAAAACAAAACAACCAGAACAGGGTTTTGGGTCTTGTGGAACATATGTTACAGTAAGAAAAGTATGGCTGATCGAAGTGGGGCACACTTATAATCCCAGAATACAGGAGGATAATGCAGGAGGATAAGGCAGGAGGATTGTTGTGAGTTCCAGACCAGCCTGGGCTACAAAGTGAGCCCATGGCCAGTCTGAACTGCATAATGAAACCCTGTCTCAAACAGACACACACACACACACACACACACACACACACACACACCATTAGAAGGAGTTGTTAAAAGAGCAACCCTGGGTGCAGGCTTTCCTGTAACCTTCAGCTCTGACAAAGTGGAGCACCCATTCCTTCTCTGCTCATGGTCTAGCTGGCCCTGCTCATCCACCCATCACCCTATGCCCATTTGAATTCCAGCCATCTAATTCTGCTGCTTGGGATCTGACCCTGTGTATTGGTTAGTTGGTTAGTGTTCTGTAGATGAACAGAATCAATAACACACACACACACACACATACACATACACACACACACACACACACACACACACACACACACACACACCCTGGGATTGATTAGTTTTATAGGCTTAGAGGTGGGAGAGTCCAAAATGCTCTACATGCTGGAGAATCTGAAGTTCCAGTGGATGTTTAATCTAAGAAGCTGGAAATCATGGAGAAAGATAGATGAAGGATGCACTTCCAAAGCAGAAGGCCTGGAAGTGCCTTGGAGAGCTGCTGGTATGAATCTGTGTTGAAAGGTATAAGAAGCTGGAGCCTGATGGCCACAGGCACTGATAGTAGTAAACAATGTATTCAATCAAGCAGAGTAGAGCTGTCTCAAGTCCATTTATTTCCTCCATCTTTTGCTTTTATTCCATCCAGGCTACAAACCTATTAGTTTGTGCCACCCACATTCAGGGTGGATTGTCCTCACTCAATTTGCTGGCCAGCAAACCTTTGGAAACATCCTATGGACACAGCCAGAAGAGCGTTTTACTCATCTGCTAGGTATTTTTTTTTTTTTTACCCCAGTCAAATTGATATATCACAATTAACAGTCACAACCCACTCTTTGTCAACTTGATTACCAGGTACATTTCCTTAAACTATACTTAATCTTCAAATAAAGACCAACTGTATGTTCATCATTCTACCTAACATGATGCAACTGTCTGGGATACAACCACAAATGCAGTTAATTCCTTCCCCAGAATAGGAGGCAAAGTCTTTCTTTAGGTGATACTTACTCTTCTCCTGACATAAAGAACTTATAAAGCAGATCTAATGATGCTTAAATACTTTTACTAAGTCAATGTTATATTACCAGACCTAGGAAGCCAAAGAAAGAAAACAAAGATATCCACTTACCATATGTGTACCTATGTACAAGCATATTAGCAAAATAGAAAGGAAATGCTCATGATAATTTATGTCCTCATTTCTGTAACTGGTCATGTGGTCACAGCAGATATTTATGACCACTTCTACTACCCCTTCTGTATTCCCATGGCCATCAGTGGCATCTCAGAGGGTCTTGGTTGTTTACAAGGTGGCCCATACTTCCATTCCTGAAGGGTCAGGGCTATTTGACAACCTGTACTTTATTGCTGACCTCAGTAACAGGAGATAATATTACTAGGAGATCCTCTAAGCAATCTCCTATGGTCCAAACATACTCTTCCTTACCTCCATTATGGAGTAGTAGTGTCCAGATTCTCCTTGCTAGTCTGCATTGGTCGTCTCTGCCAACACATAACTCCTTTTTAGCTTGTTGACTAAGGGGAAAGAGAGCCCAAAATGGCCAGAAGGAAGTCTAAACTTCCAGTTCAATAGCATCATTGTTGTGCCTCCTGTTAGAAGCCCTTCCACCCACCCAAAACTAAGACTTCTAGGCCAGTGGAACATAAAGCAACGAGAATAGGAAACTTTTGCTTGTGGGCCGCTAGGGGCAATGGACTCATGAATCCTGGGTAATGGGAGAAATAGTACGATATACTGGATGATGACTCAGAACACATATAGCCTTCTGGAGAACCTCGCCCCAGTTCTGCAAGGTATTTCTACCTCCCTGACAATGTAAATGTATCTTGAAAGATCACTCCGCTCTTCTATTAGTCCAGCTCCTTCTGTATGGTAAGAGATATGGTCCTTTGTCAGGGGCAATGCGGTGTGAAATACTGTGATGGTTGATGAGGCATCTAGTAAGTCCCCAGATGGTAGTTCTGGAAGAAACATTATGTGCAAGGTAGGCAAACTCGTACCCAGAATGTCTACTTCAGTAAGGACAATGCATTGCTCTTTCTATTATGGAAATGACCCAATATAATCAACTTGCCACCAGGTCACAGGCTGATCACCTGAGGGAGTAGTGCCATACTGAGGACTCAATGTTGGCCTCTGTTGCTGGCAAACTGAGCACTCAGCGGTGACTATAGCTTGGCCAGCCCTGGTGAGTGGAAGTCCATGTTGCTGAGCCCATGCAGAACGTCTATCTTGCCACCTTGGCCACTTTGCGCATGATACCACAATAATAGGAATGGCTGAGGAAAGATAGTGGCAGCTATCGACAGAACGGTCATCCTATTCACTTGATTATTAAAAGCCCTCTTCTACTGAGGTCACAGATTGGTGATCATTTATGTGAGATGCAAATATCTTCACATCCTTCTTGGTATATTGGTATATGTAAAGGTCTCTTCACATACCTCCTCTTCCCTATATATCTTTGCCACCAAATTTTTAGTATATTTCTTCCAAGTCCTTGACTATTCAGCTACACCTTTGGCTACAAATAGTCACACATATGGCCGTGTTTTCTTCCAAGCAATGACTTAGTACATTGCCTGACATTCTGCCCACTATGAAGATTTCCCTTCACTACTGTCCTTCAGTGATGTCCTAGAAAGGGCTATAATGCTGCAGATGTCCACTTTAGGGTGGTACCTGCATGTAGAATCATGTGTAAGCCAGGCCCTAGTTTTATCTTCCTCTGTCAACTGATCATAAGGTACACTCCCTGAGGCTATAGTACATGCCAGAGGAAAGAAAGCAACATATTAGGAGTAGGAACCGTAGACATTTGGACCCCATGGAACTGACTTGGGCCTTTTGGACCTGCTCTGGTGAGATCATGGAGATACCACTTCAATTTGATGACAGATTGTTGCTGGGCACATCTGACCTTATGACTCAGTGGGTCAGACAAAAACAGTTCAGGCTGAGCCACCCAGGTCCCATGGTTGCTTGGTGTCCCATAGTCAAGCACTCAGTTTCCACTAAGGCCCAGTAGCAAGCTGGCAACTGCTTCTCAAAGGAGGAGTAGTTGTTTCAGGTGATGGCAGATCTTTGCTTCAAATCCCAAGGACCCCCACTGTGGCTCCCCCACTGTGGAGGCCTTTCAGAGGGTCCAAATAGCATGCCTGTCTGCCACCAACACCTCAAGTACCATCAGATCGGCTGGGTAATATGGCCCAAGTGGCAGAGCAGCCTGTGCACACTCTTCTTTTGTTTTGAGCCACACTCAAAATTATCAGCTTTCTCAGTCACTTAGTAAATGGGTGAGAGTTACACACCCTGGTGAGAAACGGATTGCCTCCACAACCCAAATAAATCTACTAGGCACTGTGCCTTTTTTCTTTGTAGGGGGAGCCAGATGCAGCAACTTATCCTTCACCTTTGCATGCCTACCCTACTGGATTCTGAGGGCAAAGAGCCCTTGAATTTTAGCTGCACTTATTTCCCATCCTCTGACACCCAAGTGCTTTCCCAACATGTCCAACGTGGCTGCTACCCTTTGTTTACTTAGTCCAATCAGCCCAATGTCAGCAATGTAATGAGCCAATGTGATACCTTGTGGAAAGAAAGACAATCAAGATCTCTGCAAACTAAGTTGTAACATGGGGTTGGACAGTTGATATACCCCTGAAGTAGTACAGTGAAGGCACACTTCTGACCTTGCCAGCAGAAAGCAACTTGCTTCTGGTGGGTATTATGGGTAGATACGAAGAAAAAGTCAGGTTCCAAAT